CCCAAATCTGTATTTTCTATACTCCCAGTACCGGTACCTAGGCCCACCTCACCCACAGACCTAGAAGCCCTCCACTCGTGGATTTTTGTGCACTGATAACTAGATATGTGAATCCAGCACGACCTCAGACCGACTTGGGATCGGCCCAGTTCGGGATCAATTGCAACCGGTTTGGGACCATCGCTTAAGGGATCTGTTACACTTTTCATAAAAAAACCAAGGCGTCCCAACCCGATTTTTTTAAAACGTTTTTTATAGCCATTTAAGCATTCATATGACCCTTTTCTCATATTTTGATTGTTTTTTTGTTCTCATTGACCCTTTATAGTGTAAGTCATATGATGAATGGAGGAAGATATCAACTCACAAACGCAAAAAACGTTCACAATTCTTGCTATATAATTCGTGATTGAGGCTCGTATTTGATTTCGGTTTTAAACAACTCCTACTTCTCATCTCTTTTAACAAACCAAAGTACATATTTAAAGTGTATTAAAATAAAAATTTAGTATTCTTTAAAAAAATTCAAAAAAAGTTTATATGTAAAAAATTGATCTTTTTATAGAAAAAGTAGGACTGATTTCGGCAGGATCCGAAACTGGTTCTCACATCTGGGCGTTGGGTTTTTTGTAGGGACTGGTTTTTAGCCATCTCTACTTGATAATTTTTTGCTAGTCTGCAGTTTTCCTTGTTTCAAAAATGCCCACCTCTAATTGCGTAAATAAGACGGCTGGGATCATACCTAATTTCAACATCATTTCAACGAATGCCTTACCGACCTGTGTTGTGTTAAAACAAGCTCTTAAACATTCAACCATCAGTTTAATTGCATTTGCCAATATTTATTATTATTCATCATACTCGTCCGTGATATCTTTGTACATGATTATTATCGCCTTATTATTTTATTTGTACATCGTGGTTATTTAAAACATGTATGATTGTGAGTATTTATGAAAAGAGATAAAGGTCAGAAGCATGAGAAGAAATCTGGACCCTCATGAATTGCGGTTGATACAGGAAATGATCTGATGTAGTTCATTACTGTGTCTCGCTACCTGCATCACAAATTTTGAAAACAACAACAATGATAAGGTGTTTAGCACAATTTGATTACATAAGAATTAATGCAAAAAAACGCACCAGTTACTTAAGGAATTGATTTCATTTTCCGATATAAACATGTCTTCTCTTGTTTCGTCTCTGCATGATCATATGCTCTATTTCATCAGCAATTGCATTGAACCACTTTGGTCTTCCCGTTGACAACATCATATATCCCATCCCCAATCCAAGTAAGGTTCCACATCCATATCCCAACATCACCACTTTCCATGTAAATCCACTCTCCTCGTCTGTATCGACTTCAAGCTGTGGGGCACTCCGATGTTCACACTTTGGCAGCGGAAACCCACACAGTCCCGGATTCCCTTCGAATGAGGTTGCATTAAATGTCCTGAACTGTGTTCCATCAGGAATGCGGCCCACAAGATGGTTTTGCGAGAGATTTAAGACTTCAAGATCCGTGATAAAGGCAAGACTTTGAGGGATCTCTCCTTTTAGCTGGTTACATGATAGRTCTAACGACTCGATCTTTAGGAGATTTCCTAKAGCTTTTGGGATTCGAYCATTGAGGTTGTTRTGGGATAAGTTCAACACTATCAAAGAGCTAAGACTACCAATGACATCTAGAATCCCTCCTTCAAATATGTTACTAGATAGATCRACAATTGTGTARTCAACTGAAATTTTTGKAAATKGAAGTTCYGAACCTTTCACCGCAACAGTGATAGAGTAGAACTTGCCAATGCKCAAATATTCCKGTTTTGTGCGMTTYTTAWCCHCCCTATTCTTCATCGCRTCAAAATTTTGAAAATAGTTTCGAGRGAGATGGCCTAYAAAMTTGTTTTGAGATAAGTCGAGYACTTTGAGACTTGAAAATGGGTGTTCAACGATTGAAGATGTTTTTATGGGACCATGCAACTTGTTGGATTTGAGAACAAGAACCTGGAGATGTTGAAGATTAGCTGACCAGTGAGGGAATGTACCAGTTAAGTGGTTGTTTCCCAAATCAAGCACTTTCAAGGATTTACATTCAGACAACCCAC